TGAAGCAGTATTTTTTAGATTCTTTTCCTACTATATCTATAAAATTTTTTAACAAAACCAAATTGTTTAGTGTGCCTTTAAAAGTAGAGGATATGACAACTCAGTGCAAATTTAACTGAATTAGAAATCATTAAATTCTGTTGAAGGCTGGTTAAATTATAACTCCGTAAAGATAGGCTTTGTAAAGGTTGAGCTGCAACTTGACAAATTTTGGAACTTTTAGGGGGTGTATTTTGAGAATTCATTTTTCCTGGTTTTTTTCTGCGTTCTTTGTACTGACCTAGAATCTGTTGAACAGCAAAATTTAAAAAAATTTTGTGATATGAAGGAAAAAAGTTTGCGACTTGGTATGGAATGGTCTGTGTGTATATGGGCCATCCCGTGTCAGGTCGCGCACTTTTTTCAGTCGACTTCTCAGATTCTTCCATTTTTTGCTTATTTGTAACATTGGATACCCAATTGTGAAATTAGAAGGGTTTACCTGAAAAAGCGAGCTGACCGTAAGATTAGAACTTTTTTTTTAAATTGATAGCAAAATAAAATTTACTGTTAAAAAGCAATACTGAGTATGAGATATTTTGGTTAAAAGCGTCCAATAAAGAAGCAAAGCGGCACAAATCGAAAAAATAATTATAACAGTAATTCTTCCCAAGAAAATTTTGCTAAATCATTCAAAATTTTAACCAGTTATTTTATGAAGCAGTAAAGTTTTAGGACTTTTCAACAAGTTATATATATTATTATAACTATTAACATTTTATTTGAGATGGAGGCTAAATGGCACGCGAAATTGTCAAAATGCTTCTTCAATTATGGGGTTTTTTTGCACTCTTATATTACTAATCGTACCGTAACTCGTGGCGTCACGAAGATACTGCAGTATTAACATATTGTGCAAAAATTGTACGTTTAAAAAATATCTTTCTCAGAAGTGTAAACTGTCGTCTTTTCGGAAAGAAGGTTTTGAATTCTTATTTTTATTTGAGTTTTGTATAGAATTTATTATCACATAAATACTACCGTTTCTGAACCTGCGGGGACAGTCTTTCAAGCAAAGTAGAAATTACAAAATTCCATCCTGGGTAGAAAGAGCTACAAATTCTTTAAGATAACCATATAACCATGTTGAGCAAAAAATGCGTTTTTTTTCGCAGTTTAGAACGGACTAATGTAGTCTTTAGTGCTTCTTTTGAAGTAACTCTATTGATTTTGTAACTGGGCATTAAGGGCTACAAATGGTCAGAAAATGGAAAAAATCTAAAAAGTCGACTGAAAAAATTATGGAGCTTGGCGTGGAATGTTTTCTATGTATATTTAAGGACTTGTATGTTTATGTAAGGACCTTTTTTCAATTTTCTTTGGAAGTACTTTGAAAAATATTTTCTGTCTAAAACATTTGAACTACAAAGTTTTCTGCAGAGAAGGCCATGAGTTACAGGAGAGCAAGGAAAGCAAGACAGTAGGATCTCGCCTGGCTAAGGTCTTTCGATAGCTTTGAATGATTCTATAACTGGGTATTTTGTTTCGCTCGCAGCCGTGTTATTGGCCGTTCAACAACAAGTATAACAAGCAAAAATCTTTGATAAAAATATATATTTTCATGCCGTTAAAACTAAGGCGACTCTCTGGATTACCTTAATTAGTTACAGTAAACCCCGAATTCACCCAGAATGTCAAGTTGTTGATTGAAATAGACGGTTCACAAGGCAAAGTATTTCTGTGTAAATTTTGCAGCTTCACCTTAGTCTTGTCCGGTTCACCTGACTGTAGCATCTTGCAAATTTGAGATCAAGCGGCTGTTCAGCAAAGATTAAAAAGACCTGAGTTTTTAGGGTGAAAAATGTGACGCACTTTATATATTTTCATACTTTTATTTGTATCTTCAATTTATTTTTCTTGTTTTACTTATTTGCTTAATTTTAGGAACACGAACAGGAAAAGTTCCTTCAAATAGATATTCCTCTCTCACTGACTGATACGGAAAAGGTGGCTAAGGATTTAAGGTGAGTAAAGGTAGTAAAAAATATCGCACTTAAAAGTTTTAATTCGTACATACAATCTCAATAGTTGTTTTTTTTCATTTTTCTAAAATGAACCACGTTTTTCTTTATTTATGCAATTTTGCTTATTAAAAAACGCTAATAACTGGGTCAGTTTTGTAGTACCTTGAGCAAAACCATAGAAGAACTGAGAAAGAAACTGGAATTCCAAACTGTTATTGATGCCCTTATGGAACAGAAAAGGGAAGTTGAACAGGAATTGAATGACTGTCAAAGTAATCTCTCTGACGCGTACAATAGGTAAATAAAGATTGCTTATATTTTTTTGCTTTCCAATTTATTTTTTGCTAATACGTCATCTTCTTTTTCTAGGATTTCCGAATTACAGAAGGAACTGGAGGAAAAATCAGTGCAACAGCCTGAGATGGTGCACGTAGTAGAAGAGTAATTATTCATTCATATAAATTTATAATAGAAATACTCTTAATTTGGCGGGAAGTTTACTCCATTTTAGACACGTAGAGCGGAAGGAAGTATTGGAAGAAAAAACAAAAACAGTAACGAGGGGAGCCTTATCTGAGGACGTAGAGCCAAGTTCAGGAGACGGGAAAGTGTAAGATGTGACGTTATCTTTCCTTACCTCTTAAAGATTTTCTTATTGTAAACGTGTCCAGGAAAGGATTTTCAGCAAAATGTGGCTTGTTTTCAATAGTTCATTTACGAATATTACTAACTCTGAATTTCCTTTAGTGTAAGAGAAACTGAAAAAGAGGAGGTAACAGAAACCGAGAACTACTGGGAGCACTTTCCAGAAAAACACTATCCTCATCCTGAATAACTTCCTGAAGTAACTTAGGTCTCATATAAACGGCAGTGTGGTTATTGTTTAGCATTTGTTTACCGATGTTTGTTAAAACCGTTTAACAAAAATTAAATTCTTTCACTGTATTTAGTAAATTATGACTTTAAAAGTTCAGCGGAAATACGGGGTGATGATTTCCGAAAGGAAAATTTGTGAGTGTTAAATGCGTAATTTGAAAATCATATTGCTATTACACTTTGTTTTGTTATTTTTATTATTCTTTGTTTTTTGAAATTATGTGTGAGTAACACAAAAATATACTTCACTTATATGAAAGATTTCAATAAAGAAAAAATAATTAAAAAATAAAAAAATTATTGTGTTGTTTTTATTAACACAAAGCACTGGTTCTTCCATGGGGAAGTAGTTTCTTCGTCCTCAACTAAGCAAAATTTTGTCCTCATGAGGTTCAATGTTTTTTTCAGTAACCGTTTTTTTGTTAAGACGGGAAAAGCATGCATTAGAAGAAAAGCGGTTGTAGCAAATATAAAGAAATCTATCGTCTTCTTTATGCCCACGAATCTGTTCCTTCTAGCTGCTTCTCCGTAATCTCAAAACTTGCATAAACCAAACCTGTACTGAAATTAGCAGTCACGAGGAGATATTGCAATTGAAGCCAAATTCTCCCGCCCTCAATTTTTTCTGTAATGAAGTTTATAAGAGTGAAACGGGTTATTTATATCTTGGTCAGTTGAGTAGGTTAGTACAAGTTTTAGAAATGAGTTAATCAGATGGAGCGTAAAATTTTCGATTTGGAATTACTCTCCATTAAACTTACGAAAGCTTTTATCTCACACCTGTCCCTGAGCATTCACTGGTGATAGCCTTTGTGACTGTCCTCAGTTACTACGATATGCTAAAACTCGTTCCCTAATACTGCTGTAATATCTGTCTGTTATTGAACAACTCAATTACTGCTCAACTCTTTCAATAAGTTAAGGAGTTAATGATTGTTTCAAAAGTAAAAGGTGTAAAGTATAAAATGAGCGCCAGGCCCGAACGGGCGTTTACGTGAATGTATAGAATACGAGCAGGCCACCACGTGTCTGCGGCAACAACCATCTGAAATGAATAAAATCAACTCAAAAACTTTGTAAACTTCATATTTTGATAATCAAAACCTTTGACTAGCATTGATTCAAACGTATGATGAGAATATAAGCGAAATCAAAACAGTTTTAAAAGTAAGCAGAGTACTAAGAAAAAGGAACAAGGGGACACGAAACAGCAGCATAATGATGACAACACTATATGAAAGGTAACGCAAATGATAATACAACAAGCTTAACACCTAGCGTCCAAAGTTATAGTCAGATTCTAATAACGCCACAGAGCTGCATAAAGACTGTTTTATGAATAGATGTTAACTTCGTTGTATGAACTTGTTTACTGCATTTGCCATCTAGAAACCTGCCTGCGTACTGACGGAGTCCCATACATATGAGCTGTATACAATAAAATTATAATGAAGAAATGGTCCGTTATTCACGAAAGTAGAACCATTGCCTTTTACGACCGAACAGTGGCTTGCATCATGGTCAGATTCCTCTCTTCCTGTACCATTATCGTATGTGAGATAAAATCCTTTGCTTGACCATGAGAAATCGTCTGTTTCCTTCCAGGGCCTCCTACTCTTTTCTTCACAGTCTATAAACGCCAGTATTCTAGTTTTCGCGCTTACGGTGGCAACGAAATGTTCATTTCAACAGAAACTTCTCTCCACTTAAAAGAAATTAGTGATTCGGAATTTCTTGTACCGGCTTCAAATTTGCTTTTTAGCTGTTGATGTAATATCAAAATTTAACGCTTTGTACTTCATGAAGAAAAAATACTTTATCGGAAATTAGTCGCTTTTTAGCTTGTAAACTATGAAGTGTAAACTTCATGAGTTATACGAGACAAAGAACAAAGAACAAAGATTTTCACAGTAGTAATATCATTTCAGCAGAAGAGTAGAAAACAAAAAGAAAGTATTTCACAAATCAATGTCATAATTCTAAAATGCTGAAGTGCAAGAATGTAAAATTAGAGACAAGTAAATGTGGAAAATTCTACTCAAATGAGAACGTAATTGAGGATGGAGAATGTAAAGAAATAACTGTGAAAGGAAGGCGGAAGGAAGGAAAGAGCGCATTAGGGGTAAGAACAGGAAGAAAGCTGGAAAAGTCTCAAAATCTTGTAAGAATCTTGAAAGCTTGAGCCATCAATCTCAAACGAATGACAGTCTCGTATCTTACTACAAAGGCAAATTTTTATTGCCAATACAGTACCTTAATAAAGATAGAAAATATAAGAATTTTTTAAATGAAAATACTAAAAGGTACTGGCTTTCTTCTACTAAACCAGAAGTAACGTCAAAAAGTTAGCATAAAAGTGATTATTACAAGCGCGCAGCTGGTGTTTCAGTATTCTTGATATGAAAAAAACTTTTTACTGTGAGTCTTATAACTTCAAAAAATTGAATTGCAGGTCTTATTCAAAATGGTGCTTTATAAAAATTACTTTTTTAAATAAGTAGCAACTACTACTTGAAAAAGAAAATAAATGATCTGTTGCTAGCTTGTACTTCTCTAGATTTCTCTTTCTTAAACAATATGGTTAACAAAAAAGAGATTTGGTAAACGAGAAATTGGTGAAAAAAGTATTTTACAAGAGAAGAACTACAGATTTGCATAATTGTATTGCTTTAAAAATTTATGATGCGCATGAAAATACTGGCAAAGCATTTTACTTTGTAAAAAAATGGCAAGACTGTTTGAAAAAGGCACAGAAGATATGAATATATAGCATTTTAAAAAGTTATATATTTTTACTACTTATATTGTCATTTTGTTGGTTAACAAATGGCTGAGCAAATGCTAACTCAAGCCAGCGTTTCTCGCCGATCACTTGTGCTGTAATCCTCTAAAGTAAATAGATCACAAACGATTTAGAGATGATCTACATCTAGTATTCAAATTACAAAAACAGTGATTTTTCAATTTCTCATCGGTAACACACTACAAAAAAAAATTAAAAAAAAACGCATGTTAAGCATGCATAGAATTTCGAGATCAGAAAAAGCCGAAATATTCATTATATCTATTCTGTCAAATCTTCACGAAACAACTCATCCCTTCAAACGCTGCAGTTTATTGAACAGATTACGGTACAGAAAGAGCCAGACGAAGTACGGTTTAAATACAGATTTGCAGGATAATAATTCGTGAAAATTTTGCTGTAGAATACAATTTCTATAAAAAATGTAAAAATAGTGGGTTAAACGTCAAACTCATTTCACCATTTAACGCGTATTTGTTATTTCCGTAGCAGCTATTTCAATAAATTGCAATATTTTGGAAATCAGAAAGTTTTTGTAGAATATTTCTTTTAATCGAGAAAAAAACTTTTCTATATTTGTCTTCAAACATCGCATTTTGCTGTATCTACCTCTCTATTCCAAGAAATTAGAAGATATGATATTTTTTTTAAAGTACAAGGTATACCAATTAGCAATTTTTTTGCCTTGAAAAAACACGACTTCAGAGAGAATTTACTTTTGTAGATTTATCGAATTTAAAAAAATTTTGTTAAAACCGTTAAAAAAGTATGTTTTCTGAAGACATAATTTTTGTAAACGTATTAAAACTACGAAGTGTTGTCTCTCTAATATCTCAAATTACAATACGATCAGTGAGGCTAAGCTGTAAAAGAATTCAGTTGATATAGCATTTTGGGGTTTCTGCAGTTGAAATTCTGCTTTCAGTAGTAATGTTGTTTTCTTGAAGCATACTCTAGTTTGGTTTTTTTAGTAACAGGTATTTAATAAAACTTTTTTCACTACTAAGTAACTCAAACATTATTTTTTTAAAAAGTTATTGAGTGGTTACTTCTTCGATTTGTAACTCCTTACTTTCTCATTAAACTCTGTAACCTAAAGATCTAAAACTGCCTGCTATAACCGTTTCAATATGGTATTATATTGCCACCTTGTTGAAAACTACACATTGGTGGTTCAATGTGCCGCTTAGATATATCCCTAGAAAACTGCGCAAACCAAAACCTACTCGCTTCTGCAGTATCTAAAAAAGAACTCTCCGTTCTTTTCTACCTTTTATATCTCACACTGCTTCACCTATGATACTGTGACCACACCTTTATTCGAATGACACTTTTTAAACATGTTATACAGGAAATGCGAATCTGAATAGCACTGTCTACTTTATTGTCAATGCTCTGTCGCTGTAGTCGCAGCTTGTAGCAGTCATAGAGACATGTCAATCGTGTCAACCACGACTGAAGACTAAGAAATCTTCTTCTGGCGCTGAAGTAACGCACGACGCAGTTGCAGATTTATAAACGACTGTGAGGTATTATGGGCGGGTTTGGTCTTTTGTAGCCACATGAATGGGAAGAGGTTGCTGAGAAGTGTGGAACGCTTTGCGTAGCCTCTTGAAAAACGAATGGTGTGACGTGCATTGGTATGTGCTGTAAAACGTTGAGCAATGGTTGGTAGCTTGTTTTTGTCAGTGGTAGCGGACTTCGTTTCGCGTGTAGCTGAGCATTTATACTGATGTTACATTTATACTTTTAATTCGCTTTTCTCTCAAGTCGGAAGACCCGAAAGGAAAGTTGCATTAGCACTCCTTATAGGAGGAACTTCCCGAAAGTTGGACTGTCATAAAGCAGACTGGCCAGGAGCCAATAAGTAGGGCCCAAACTTTCAAACGGAATGTAGTGGCGCATTGAAGTCGAAACTAGCATATGACAAACAGTCTTTCCGATGTCAGAATCACAGTTACGGGAGGGAAACCAGAAACGGTAGCATGAAATGCGGAACCGCTGCCACTGCCACATTACTATCGCTGTACGAGCCTTTTAATATTTACAAACAGGCAGTAGGAGCTGCAGCACCACTATATTGTAAGGTTGGCAGGTGCTATTCCGCCACACTGCCCTGACCATACGCGGGAAGCAAACGGCCCCGTTTCACTCAA